CTCTGCAGCTTGAATTTCTTTGCATTTGTGTTTGTGGAAATGCGTTTGGTTTGCAAGTGTGGGTCCAAAGTTTCCAGGCTCATCGCAGGAGTCGCCGTGCATTTGGATACTGGGCGCTTGTGCAGCGCTCACATGTGAATAGGGAGTGCGGATGTGCGCAGAGAGAGAGAGAGAGGGAGGGGGGAGAGAGTTCTTTGTGTCCTGTATGTCAATGTCATACGAATGTCGCACTGAAGCTGCACAAAGGCTCGCACAACCTAAGCAGACATCGGGGATTCAGGCAATGCTGCACGGTTTGGCCTTCTTCACCAACTCTAAAGTTTAAGAGCGTTCCTCACAGGCACCCGAGGACTTCGAAGCATTTCAAGACACACCTTCTTTGCACAATAGCTCGCTGCATCGGTGCGATCTTGAACACTGCGGTCAGCAGCGCTCAACTTTGGGCTTTTAATATCCTCATTTGGGCCGGAGGTGCGACGTCGGCAGAAAAGAACAAACATTTCAATCTTTCTACGCCGACGTTTCGCTCGTTCTCGGTCTGAGCGATTAAGACCTCATACTACAACCTGGCGTTGCCATCCTTTTGAGGTCTCAAGCACGAAAGGCAGCAGATGCGGCTAGAATCTTAGTCTCGAGATGTCTCGAGATGTCTCACGTACTTGACTATTTTTACTTCTATTCACTTCTGGTAGACCTTGTCTCAGATAATAGATGATAATAGAGTTCATCAAGTCCGGACTTCCCCCCATGTTACCACTTGGTATCATGATAGTGAATGAACAACATCCCGCACCATGCGACCTTTGCCGAGGCTTTAGGCGTGTGTCGCCAGCTGAGTGCTGCCGGCCGACGGCAATTGGCCATGGGACTTTGTGCATCAGCCAGGCCGGGTTGCCCCACGTCGCATGGTCGGCCAATGGCGATGAGAGCTTCAGTTTTCCAATGTTTTGAGAATTGCTTACTTTCCCTTTGCTCATGTGTTCGAGAGAGTTTAGGAACAGGCTGTCAGATGGCTTGAGCCGACCAGATATTTCAAGCATCACCTCCTGCATTGCCACCCATAGATACCCATAGCCTCGCTGGCAAAGGCCATATCAAAGCTGCTCGTGGATTCACCGCGGCAGCTTGTGTCAGCTCCAAAGCCCTTGATCGTCAACGCGCGCCAGGGCGCACCTAGCTGATCGTGACCCGAAAAGCTGGGCCGCAGCATCTCGGGAAGCACACGAGGCTCCGACGCCATGCACGACGAGCAGAGCAGAGCATTAAACGGACATGCGTTCCGTCAAGTTCCGTCCTTTGTGCAGGCTCAAGAGATCAGTGTGGAGCTTCATGACGTGTGTGAGCTTAGTGGTGGGAAATACATGTGTTTCAGATGGAGTCAGATGGCTTGAGGGTTCTGATCACATTATCAGCACATGATGTTTCTGTCAATGAACTTGAATTGCGCGATTTGTTACAGTGGCAGAACCGTTCAGGTACAAGGTGAAATCACTGCACGGCTTTTACGTGCTGATGCGCTCATGGCCAGCGGAAGGCTCCAAGAGGTCAGAGGGGGGGGTTTCTTCAGAGCCAAATCTCATTGTCCGTTCGATGTTTGTTGGACATTGTTGGACACATCGCCCTGAACATTTTCCGTTGCCCGTGCGCTTCGGTCTTCATAAAACCAGCCCGCACACAGACAGCCGCTCATGTTATACTTATGTTATTTTATGTTTCATTTGTTGCTTCCTGTTTGCCTTGGATGATCTTGGATGCACTTTTGTGAAGGCTTATGTGCAACTTTCCACCTTGGCTGGGGAACGCCGGGCCTCTGCAGACTTGGAGGGGGGAGGCCTACCAGCTTCATGCGGACCAGAAGGATTCAGATGTAGACGTAGCATGACGTAGCAGGAAGAACGTGTGCTGCCTCGTGATTTGAGACGATCGTCCTGGACGCTGCTTTGCGCCAACTGATTCGACTGCAGGCATTGGCTTTGTACCAATGCTTCCGAGCGCTCCGTGATGCTGGGAGTTACTCGACCCGCCATGCAGGATCGTCCGGCAGATGAGATCCGTCCACTCGGTAGGCTAGACTCAACATGATTCGACCGGATTCTGCTGCCAATCCTGCAGCTGGGAACCACTCGCATTGTTTTTTTCCGCGGGCCGGGCCCTTTTGAGAATGTGTCCCAATCAAGTGGTGATCCAGAGCGTTTCTCCCTCAGAATGATTGACCACTAGTGGGATCCAAGTGATCTAAGGTACTGAGATGGCGATTGGAACCTTGCTGGGGGCTGAGTTCTGTGAGTTGGTGGGTCATGATGAGCACAATAGAGTCATGCTGCCCTTTGCTATTGAATTGGTGGGAGTCGGAGCACGGTCATTGGGAAGAGGCAGTGGGGTTTCCAGCTTCTCAAATCGCAGCGGTGTTGCCAGGCAACAAGCCCTGAATATCTATTGGAGCTTGCCAGATGCGCCAGGGTGCCCAGTGCGCTAATCTCTGTGAATCCTTTTTGGGCTTGCACTTTGACGGACAATCTTAGACTATGATGGAAGCACCATTATGTGTTTATGAAACGCTAGTGGCCTGCAGGACTCCATGTTATGTAAAACATGTGTGCATAGATAAACGTAGAAGCCGTCTACATAGGGCTAAATGCGGTGGATATGAAGAAATCACAAAAGATATTAATTACATACTGTAATAGTCAATAAATCTAAAACCCCGTGTAAGGAGTTGTGTGTAAAGCAGCCTTTCAGATGTTGTTCAAACCTTCCGCAAAAGATTCACGATGGGGTTCGCCAAAGTATTGTTTTCTCCGCGATAGATTTATCGAAGGTCTTCGCTTTCATATGTTTTCCTTAGTTCTACCGACCGACAAATGGTGGAAATACAAGGCATTCCTCCGGCAGAGCCGGTGGGCGGAAGTGTCCCCATATGTCCCCATTGTCACAGACTAACGAACTGAAGCCTCAACATTTCCTTGCCCAGCCCTCGCCCTCGCAGTGCGTACAGGATTCTCCGGTTCCTGTCCCCACTGTCACAGACTAGCAAACAACGACCTGCAGCGCCGCTGACGCCACCCCGGGGAAATCACCAGTAAATGGCGCGAACGTTTCGCGAATGTGCCGTTAAAGTCCAGGTTCCCAGCCTGAGGCCCCCTAGCATGCATCAACCTGTGTTGGTACTTGTAGCTGGCACGAGGATTGGGCTTCGAAGCTGAACTTTGCACATATCTAGCCCTATCCATTTCGAGCGTGAAGGCTGGGAAGAAGGCTAACAATAGTCAAGTGGAGGATGATGATTCCAGAATCCAAGGATGCCGCTTGCCCTAAATGGGGCCATGCCGTTCATTTGGGAGGAAGGTGGACATGAAATAACCCTGTTTTGTGAAGCGGAAACCACTGTTGGGTTGTGCTCAGCGGGACTCACGGACTCACGATGATCCCCACGAATCCAAAAATCCACCTGTGCATCATGTTTCATTGCAACACATGCGCGTGAAACATGGCGGTGTGAACGCACGAAGGGCAATCGTGGGAAACGCATATATTAATAGTTTCGGCTTTACCCAGGCTAAACAATGTTATATATATATATGCATTTTCAACATTTTCATGAATGGAATGCACATATGCGAGCCCCCCCAAAGCCCTTTTTAGAAAGGAATCTAGGAATAATTGGCCTTTAGGATGGGTAACGCCATTGTTCCTTGGATTCTATGTTCCTGGACGCCTCGCTATGGCCAGCCAGCGCAGCCTGCCCAAAGAAGTCTGTGATAAAATGTTCGTTAAGGCAAGACTTTGCTCGACTTGGCACTGAACCATATTGTTGCTTTCTCCTGTGACTACTGTGGTTGTGAAAAGGAATTGTCATGTCTTTGGTGGGTTGGCTGCTCGCAATTCACTTGGCTCCAACTTGTGCCTCTACATGCGGCTGTTAGGATCTGTTAGGTAGATTAAATATTGTTTTTGTACTTATATAGGAAATATCCATTGAGATCCCTTTTGATCCAAATGTTCCACTGAGGCCCGGTGCCACGAAGTGTTTATACGCACTTGTGGGGGCCACAGTCGAAGTGTGAGACGGACCTTTTGTAGAGGCAGCTCGTGAGATTTTTTATCGCCTTCCGGAATGCAGTTGGGCCTTGAAACAATTGCAGCTTGCTAGACCGAATGGAAACCGCAGCCGCACCGAACCCACTAGGCGTAATTGCATAAAGATCGCAGAACAGTCAAGACTCCAAAACAGTACCTTGGGGTGCAAACAGGTTTGGATGGTGATGGGGTGCAATAAACATTGCCACTTACCAGTTCGATTTGTTTCCAATGTGGCCTTCTGATACAGTTTGACCTTTCCTCCATTCTGGGTTTTGTTTTTGCACATTGGCCGAAGATGTTGATTCGAATCTATAGATGTGTACGGAAAATGTTTCCATGAAAAACATTCAATCTTAAAGAAAAAAGGAACTACCTCACAGGGTTCTTCTCACGGATGCAAAACCAGACCACAAGCTTGAATTTGCACACCTCGATTGCGAGATTTTTTTACCTTCCTTGAAGGTGACTGGGCGACATCAAAAGTTTTATTGCATCTCCACCTGGAGTGATGCGCGTTCGAAGCTCTACTTTTGTTTGCATTTTTTGGCAGGCACGAGTGCACTTGGCTGCTGGGGAGTACTCAGTGGATTCCGGCACGCTTGTTCACGGCAGCTATGATTGAGAGAAACAATCAAGATTTTACTGTAGATAATTTGCTCTCTGAGGTTGGAACCACATCAGACTGGCAAGACTAGCGCCTTCAGATGCATGTCAGCTCTATGCCTGCAAGCGCCAGGCATCATTGAAAGCTCTCTCCGAAGTGCTTGGTATGGTGAAGCGTTATCGGCGGAAGCAGAGGATGGAGGTCCAATGGCCGAATTGAGCCCGATACGCAGGGTCCAGTGGCAAGGCATGACACCACCCGTTGCAGGGTTTGCTTCTGACACCACCATCCAATCACCTTCGAACACCTCGTCCTTGCCAACCTGAGGCAAGTAGCCGCAAGTGCTTGCGCTCATAGATTCAATTCACAAAAGACACTACTCAAGTCTCACCGGCACCAGTCAAGTTTTTTGAGGCTTCTGTGCTGGAGCTGGTCGCCAAAGCGATGCTGGCCATGCCGACCACAGAGGTCCAGGTGCGTTTGACACGCCACTGGGGCCATGGAAGCGGTCGGGTTTTGAACCCGATGGGATGGACCCGAGCAATGGGAAGTTGTGGTGAACTCGACCAGGTGAATGGTGGATGGGGCCATGTTTGATGGCCACTGTAATGGGTTTGTACTATGACTATGCCTGTTTGAACCTGTTTGGATGACCTTTGGTTCTTCGCCTCTGCTCCTTCAGTTGCACTCCTTCAGTGTGCACTCCTTCAGTTGGCCCTTTGAGACTTGACGGGCCAGCAAGCGGTCTTCAGTGGTCTTCGGCAGCCATTTGTTGGCTTGCAGCTGAGTAGGACAACATGAAAAGCAGTTGGCATGGCAAATGCCACCTACATGTTCAAGCTGTGAAGGCCCTGTAGCAAAACGTAGATTTCTTTATCCAATCCACTACAGGAGTGCTGAACAGATCTTATCAGATCCAAGACTCGGATTCACCTGTGATCTTTGGAAATTGTAGCACCTGCTTATGGTCAGAAACATGTCCGGGTGACCCACTTTGATGAGCTTACTAGCTGCTAGCTCCTTTCCCGAGTGTTTGGACCACCAAAAGACGCCTGAAAAAGAGCGATCGTGGCCGGAGAAGGAAGCGCTTTGGTGATCGTGGCCATGGCCCCAACGAGGGTTCTCCCAAGCGATGGACGAAGAAGCGAAGGGGGGCAAAGGCGACGGTCATGTCTTTGAAGATCTTTATTGAAGGTTCATTCTTTTTTGGCTTACGTTGTTTTATATTGGCTTATCCAGGATGCCGGAGAGGCGACACCTCAGGACTGGCTATGTTGGGTTCTGTTTCCTTGGGGCTTTTCAGCATGTGCGGAAGGCATTCAGAGTCCATTTTGCCAGGCTAAGAAAGGAAGCAAAGGGCCCCAGAAGGGCTCCGGGAAGGGCAAGGGCCCTTCGGGTCCTAGCACAAAAGGCAAATCCAAAGGGAAAGAGGCCAGCCTGGAGCTCTTTTGTGTGAGTCATGTGCTGGCTTTGAGGAAGTAGAGAATTGTTGTTGGTACTAGTATATAGCTTCTTGTTACTAGTAGCCATGCCCTCCAACCTACTTGCGATGGGCCTCCACCTAATAGCGTCCTAATACTCCTTTGTGCCTTTTTCTTTGGTTCCTTTTCTTTCAGACGCGAAATCAGCGCTGCTGCCCGGCACGACATCGTCTTCAGGCCCCGAGCGTCCCTTCTTGGCAGAAGCCAGAGATATCTTCAGAATGGCCGCTGAACTTGACAACGTTTTCAAAACAACAACTAAACGTCAAAACGTTTTAGTTTGCTTGAACATGTCTAGTAAACTTGAACATGTTCCATATTGTTCCACTAAAGATTCCTTCAGAGATATTCAAAGTCATGTTCCGAGGCAGGTAGAACGTGCATGATCCTCAGCAGCCTTAGACTTCGAAGATTGCACAACGATGTCGAATCGAATCGAATCGCCTTACTGTCCTCCTGATTGGCTTAGATGGTCAATTGGCAGCCCATTCGTCAAACGAGTCGCCTGGAAGGGTCGGTGCTGGCCCCTAGAGACGGGTCGAAGGAGTGTGGTGGGGCCGTTGAGGCAGGCTCAAGTATATATGACAGTGACCAAGGGTCAATGAGTGGGCATGTCAAAATGCAATACGATGACACGCTATAACTATAACTATAACTATACTCACTGCTTCGAGGCTTGGCAGGTTCACATCATATGTATAATACTATATGCTCTGGGAGTTGGAAGGCACGGCGTGACCACTTTGCTGAAGGTTTGGCAACAAGTTCATGATTCCTTGGATGGAGGAGTCAGTTGCTCAGCAGTTTGATACCAGAATCCAGAATGACAAATACAACAAACAAAGCAACGTTGAAAACTGCTGAAATGTGTGTCCATGTGTGTCCACTTCTACGAATTTCTGCGAACTCACCACGAGAGGAGGCAGAGAATCTGAGGCCGCGAAGCTGCCGGAGGAAATCTTGGGACGCTTCATGCGCAAAGTCTCGGAGGCGTGACCTTCCCAGACCCTTGGCAAGCCGCCTCAGGTCATGTTCGTTGGCGCTTTTTTGGCAGGTGCCACAAAAGAGGGCGAGTGATGTTGGTCAGCCGGGCCCCCCTGTGCTTGGCATACGGCATACCTTGAAACTTTCACACTTTGTGTACTAGTCACGGCTAGTCCCACTGGGCAACAAGCCCAGGAAGAAGACAACGACCAAACGGCTGCTGTCAGCGAAGCAAGCATTGGCTCGGCTCTCAGTGTGTTGATTCCGAGTGCCGCCACTACTTGGTACTGGTAGTGCACATAGCCTACATCATGCTGCTCGCCTCGATCGAGCCGATTCTTGTGTTGTGGGAATACTCCACGCGACAGGGTTAGATTCTCGGCCCTGGCGAGGTGGCTGACATTCACCATGCTTTGCTCACAAGGAAGGCACAGGATACACATGCTTTATGTAAGGCACAAGAAAAGGTGTTTGTGTTTATGTTTCTTTCGTGCAATCCGCTTTTTAACTTGTTTCCCTCACACTGGTGTTTGTTGATGTACTTGTTTTTGTGAATCCCCCTTGCTCTAAGCTTTTGCACAACTGTTCATGTGCCACCACATTGTCGATACGGCATGTTATCTTGGTGTGTGCAGGGCATTCGCACAGTGAATGACCTTACGTGGATTCTTGGACCAGTCAAGGTGCAACAACGGCGCTGTGATCAACAGCGTAACGAAGCATTAAGAAAGAAAACTACCATGCTAGCCTGTAGCTCGCCATAGCCTCTGGCTAAACTCATGGAGAGAGAGAGAGAGATGCGTCTTCGCTCAGCCAAGCGTCTTCACAGCGTCTTGCAGGACGAATGCAGTGAGGATGCACTCTCGGAGGAGACAGCAATTGGTTTGGCCACCATCCATCTCAGTCGGTCAATGGATAAGTTCGAGGATGTTGTTTATCCCCACCATTAGTGCTACGCATATAATTGTTTCCGGGTAAATGGTGTCAGATAAGCTTTCGTGTGAATCCTGGAACTGTAGCAACAATATGCAACAATGGGCAACATGCGTCCTGCATCGTCCTGCATGAGGATGACTTTTGGATCGAGTTGCTGGATTCAGTTACATGAATCATGGTCCCAAGTTGAATTCTGCAACTTTTTGGCATAGCCCAACTTATTTTCCAGGTGTTCTCTCACAAAGTTGTGATTCAAAGTCCAACACAGTGAGGCAAGTTGTCTCGCATCTACTCTCACTTTCGGCAAATCTCGGCCTGACGATTAGCGAGAGATAGAGAGAGAGAGAGATACTCTAACCGCTTCCGAAGCTAATAGCGATGGCCTCCAACCTAATAATTAGTATGTCCCACGATGTCCTATACGATTATATAAATTTGAAGATGGTCAATGCTCGCTCTGGCCATGTGCGCCGCGCCATGTGCTTTTGGTGCTTGGGCACCGCCTACCTGACACTCTCAAGTAGGGCTGATGCTTTTGGTGGCACATTTGCTTCTCACCTTGTTGAGCAGAGAAGTTTCTTTGGGTTTCTGGTGTTCCCACGGAAACACAGACAAGAGGAGGTTACATCCCAAATGGTATATACTCGTGTACCTTAAACGCTGCCAGTTGTCGCCCCATCGACTTCCACGTCGACTTTCCTACCTAGGCTTTCAACCCCACTCCGCGATCGACAGCCTTGGATGGTACCTTGCGACAGCATTTTTGCCGCTCGAGAAGGGCATCCAGCATCAGGTCTGCCGAGCCCCTCAATCTCAAGGGCAGCGGGTCAAAACGGGACAATGTCCTACCACCTAACGTGTGTTTTCAAGCAGTTTCTGTGTTGGTGTTTGAAGCCCGGAGGCGGTCACTGTGCTCACGGAACACAAAGCTGATCACCTGCCACCTAATAACGAGCCAGGGCCTCCCAGGGCCTCCATTCCAAAGTAGCCTTGGAATTGGGGGGGAACCCTGATGATCCCTAAACCGACCGATGTCTCAAGTCGCGTCGCTGTGCCAAGGAGCTACCAAAAGCCAAATCCCACACCGCTTTGGACCTTGAAAGTCACCCAACTGCTGTTGTTTTCAGCGAATGTTTGCTTGGTCCGCTTCATCACCGTCTACTACCATGTGCCGACCTCGGCTGTTTGACGGAACCAGTGCACTGCTGTCGTCTATGATTGATGTTGTAAATGATCAATCCCGCAGTAGGGAAACTGGCCCACGACCCTGATTAACAAACCTCCTTGTCTATATGGGAGTCGTTCTAAAATCCGTGTAATGTTTTTAGTGGACGAGTGACATTCTAGCTTTTTGAAGTTATGTTTACCTGCAGGGGCGAAAGGATGCGAGAGCGCGGCGAAAGGTTTGGCGAAAGGCTAAACTTGATAGAAATATATCATGGATAATTCATACATGTATGCACATGTTGTGCATATATCTTTGTGTCCAAAACAAACAGAGATAGTGGTTTCCATGCAAGGCGTGATAGGCAGAAAGCTGCAAGAGTAGTGGCTCAGCATGTAATATCCCCAAGGATATGTATCACCAGCTTAGTGAACACCCCAGCATGTCATAGATGCGTACGAAAAGAAACAGACAGCAATAAGAAATCTTGCAGACGGATCACAAGAGAAGATTCAAGTAGCAAAATTCCCCAAACCGAACGAGGAAAAACGCGAAAGCTTCGCGAAAGCGACGCGCAAGGTTGGCGAAAGACGAGCCTGCCCGAAACCATCGGGAGCCCAAATGGGCTAGTCCAGAGTCCATGCCATGTCGCATCTTGCTTTTCTTTTCCAGGAATGGATGAACAACAACTGTCCCGAAGCCAAGCGCCCCAACCGCAACACCACCTTGCCCAATGCAAGTGCCACACCTCATCAGTGACAGGGAAAAAACTGCAAGAAGTCATGAGAAACAATTACTTCGAAGACGGAGTCGATGGCAAGAAAAGAAACAAGCTGCAACGAAAGATGTCTGAACGCCCATGAAGGAGAAAAGATCTACCGAGCGCCCTTGGAATAACGGGAACCAAA